CCGAAATCAAGGCTCGAGCAGTTCCCTTTTCCTGTAATTTCATTTTTGAAAGTCGTGTAGTTAATTTTGAAGCTCATAGATTAGCTAAATATGCTCTTAGTTTATCCCAGGGACGGCATGTGTGGCTTGGCCAGCCACATAATACGGTTTGTATCCCATATTCTGTGGACTTTGATCAACAAATGACTTTTACCCCTCAAAAAAGGTGGCATCAGTGGGTAATATTTTGCAACTTTGACGTACTGCCAGAAGCAATATTCCTTTAAAAAAACAACTTGAACTTTATTAATTAGCAATAATGGTTACATAGTCTATCAAGAGAGTTACAAGATTTTCCATGGGCTCCTCTATCCAATCCCTAGTCATGGAACATTTTGTTAATATAGCAAGCTCATGAGCTACTTTATTCGCTTCCCTGTTACAATGTTCAAAACTGGTTTGAGGAAAATCACAGGCTATAAAAAAACAATCCTCAAAAATTGCAGCAGCCGCCCCCGCAGACTATCCTCCATTTTTCATTGTGTCAATGACCTCCATATTATTAGAATTGATAATTAGACGATTGCATCCCTTCTTTCGTGCCAATAGTAAGCCAAATCTAAATGCTACCGCCTCCGCTGTCAGAGCATCCGCATAGTTCTGAATCCTCAAGTTACCACCTACTATGAAGTTTCCTTTGTCATCTCTCATAACAACACCCGCTGTGCCTCTTAGCTGATCATGATCAAAAGAAGCATCCACATTCAATTTAACAAACCCCCTAGGAGGTCTGCACCATCCTTCATTCTTTCTCTTTGCTTTAGGAGAGTGGGCATTTACATAGTTCGTTGTTATAGCCCTAATTCCCATCGAGGTTTGGGATGCCTCTTGAGAATTACCCTCATGGACTAGTTTCTGTCTATTCCACCATAAATACCAAACAGCTATAGCGATTAGTTCCCCTGCATTCCGGGATCCCAAGATATGTAGTTCATGGTCAGGCATAAGGAGTAAGAATTCAAGGACTGCCTCTCCTGCACGATCAATGACGCAGGCTTTTTTCATCACTTCATACAACCCCAAATATTCCCACACTTCCTTTGCCTTCTGGCACAGAAATAATAAATGTTTCGTGTCCTCTGGCCCATCCAAACATGCTGGGCATATTGGCTGAGTTTTTATATGTCTGTTGGCCAGTGTAACGCGACACGACACCCAGAAGCAATATTCCTTTATTATAAGACTAATTTTCTGTACTACTGGGAAGTATGTACTCCCATCTTTAATATACCTCATATACGCATTGATTATACCTTTTTTATCATTCTCAATATACTTCATTAAATGTTCTAAGATATCCAATACGAGTTTTGTTGAAAAAATACCATTTGCGACGTACTTTTGTTGTATACCATTTTCATGTATGAACAAATTAATATATACTTGAACCTTTAAAAATATGTTGACTCGCATGAATTTTTTCATTAAATTTATTTTTGGCTATCTGGTAATTATTCGTGTAGTATATTAAAATAATAAAGAAGTATAAAAGATTTATCTTTGTGGTATATGAGGAGCGGGAGTATGTACTCCCAGAAGTACCCCACATGTCTCATACACTATCATGTAGTAGTATATATACTACTTTATAATTCTAAATATGTTCATATATTATATCGAAGATAGTTCAAAGCAAGTTACACAAAAAATGCATATGAGCCCTTAGTTTTTATTATATTTGTGGAATATGTAGGACAAATATTTTCTACCGCTGATGGTAGTTATTATCATGTGAGTTTTGTATGTTGTATATAGTATCTGTTAAAACCGAGTGTATGTACATATAGTATTTAGTATATAAAAAATATTTTTGGTAGTATATATCCTACTTTTTAGATAGTATGTACTAGGTTTTTAGTAGATTGTTTTATATGTATAAATATGAAGGTATTTTAAAATATACAAAAAATATGGACTCACATGCAATTTTTTCATACAACTTGCTTTGAAATATATTTGCTATAGTATATGAACAAACTTAGAATGATATATATAGATAGAAAGAGAGAGAAAGAGAGAGAGAGAGAGAGAGAGAGAGAGAGAGAGAGAGACCACCACCACCAGATGATATAGGGACAAATGGGGTAATTACCCTTGGGTGGTGCATGAAGTTGCACAACATGTTCAGTTTGGTGCCACAAGTTGAAAAATACGAAAACTGGTGCTGAAACTTGTCTCAACGTGTATATACAGGTCAATTCTCAGATGTAGTCGTATATGACGCTTGTGTGGCATCACAATGTGGTACCGGGCCCACTGTCAGTGACTAGGACGAGCTAGGGCGGCCTTTTTTTATAGGAAACCCCAAAAATAATAACAAATCTTGTAAAAAGCCCCTATGACCGTTGGGCCCTACTCGCCAGGGAACAATACGAAGGGAAAATTCATATGAAAATAGTGCCAACACGGCTCAAACACGCGACTTCCCCATACCTATCGAGTTGTGCTAGCCACCGGACCAATTAAAACTTGTTATGGAAATTCGATAACTAAGTCTAATCATCTAGTGACCAACACGCACAGGGGACTTAAATAGGTGGCAGTCAATGCGGCCAGTTTTTCATATGTTAGTTATTTTTTGTTTTTAGAATTTTGTAAAAATATGTAAATCATAATGACATTAAAAGATAGAATTCAAATATTCGTGTTCATATATTTTAGAGAGTTTCATGAAAAAGGGTTCACATATTTAATAAAAACTACTTATTAACATAATTTTTGTAATACAAATAAAACATAAACATATTATTTTAAAAGTATTCATATACCTTAAGTAGTATTCAAGAATTACAAAAAAGTTCATAAGTTTCAAAATAATATTTAAGAGTTTCATTTGAGGATGTGCAATCTAGTATTTCCTAACCTCGTATATACTTTTCCATAAATCTTTAATTATTTATTATTGTTAAAGAATATATAAATATTTTTGCAAACACACAAACTTTATAAAAAACATGCAAGCACTTTAAAAAAACATAAACACTTTTTACATTCTATATGAATTAATAACATGAACACTTTCCAAAATTATATGAACATTTAGTCAAATATATAGTTTTTAGACTTATATTGTATTAAATATACGTTCATTGTTTTGAATTAACAAACATTATTATAATTGATATTTAGTTCAAGTAATACATGAATATATTTTTAGAGTTACATGAACATTCTTTGAAATAAGTTATTTTATTTTTATTTATATTATTTATAATACACGAATATTCTATCTTTGTTTTTTACTGCAATTATAATTTACATAGTTTCACAAAATTCTAAAAAAGAAAAATAAACTAACATATGAAAATGGGTCAGAGTGACAGTAGCCCATGTAAGCCCTGTGTGCGTGTTGATATTTAGGTGATTAGAAGAGTTGGTTACCGTAAATCGGTAACAGAGTCTTATTGGTTGTGTGGCAAGAAAAGCCAGGTTTGGACCAGTTGGTCACGTGTTTGAACAGTGTTACACATTGTTTTTCATAAATTTTCCTTCGTACTGTTTCGTGAAAGGTGGGGCACAACGGTCATAGAGAGGCTTTTTTACAAGATTTGTTATTAATTTAGGGGGTTTCTATAAAAAAAGTCAGTCTAACTCAGCCTAGTCACTGACAGTGGGCCCTGCGCCACGCATCATGCCACGCGAGTGGCATATACAGGCGAGAATTGAACCGTATATACACAATGAGACAAGTTACGGCACCAATTTCCGTATTTTTTAACTTGTGGCACCAAACTACACATCCTGTGCAACTTCATGTACCACCATTGCATTTGCCTCTTATTTCTTCTTAAGTCCTAGGGAACTTATCGCTTGCCAAGTCATTGGTTTGACTTCGTATTGCCATCTACCTCCCGGCCGTTCGCCTTCACATGGGGTCTGGAAAACGGTTGTGATTAAGTAGAATTTGGAGGCATCAACAATGGAATCATAGGCATATAGTAGTGCTGTTAGTTGGTTGAATGCACCTTGTACGCTTACATGATCTATACATATCTTCATATCGATCATGTAAACGGGCCTCCTCTTCGTTTCCTCTTTTTTGCTGCCGGTCGCCGCCTCCTGTTCTTGGACTTGTTTTGGAGCAGCTCTACTACCCTGCAGCATTAGTGCTACCAGCTGGTATGTATACCACCGCTTGAAATTTTTAGCAAAAGAGCTCCCACCGCTTGGAATTTTTGATCAAAAGCTGATATAGTTTAGCTGCATTTAGTTGAATATACGTATATTTTGTATGTACCACATTCAACTGTTTTTGGCACAAACAGTAATGTGTTATGTTCTCCACTTATTTCAAAATTTAAGCTTTCCATCATTTATAATTGTATTTTTTTTATTTTTCCGTTGTTTGTCCTCATTTAGGACATCTCCTCCTCCTTTTGGCACTTGTTAAAATGTAACTTGCTTAGCTAGTTGTTCTTTGTCATTCCACAAGGGCAGTAAGATTAGAGAATGTTGATACAATATGAAAAATGATTGTTGAAACAAGTAACTACCAAGTAACATCTTTCATGTGGTCTATAGTGCTCTACTGTTGCCCATTTGTCGGTTCTTTTTTCATCAATTTTTGTGAGACCTTCATATTGGGCCGTGTGCATTTTAGTTATGCAGAGGCCAAGTGTTACTCATAATGCTTTGTATCCGCTTGATGCTACATTTTGAGATAATAAAATTGCCCTTTATCGGGAAAAAATGAGGATGAGTGAATCCATTACTTCTTTCTAGTGTTCTCTTGATTGTTTGTTTTTGTGGGGAATCGTTCTCTTGATCTTGTTTAAGTCTCACACCTACTCAGAATAAACCTTGTGTTTTACACCGAGTAGTACTCCTACATATTATTCATACACTTAGGAGATTTTGGTTTGTTATATATTTGCAATGCTACAAGATTACAGCTTAGTTGGATCTATACCTTTAATGAATCAAACTAGTGAATATTTCATTCCAGACAGTGCACGCAAACAATGCCTGGAGGACCGCTGGATCTTGGGAAGTTCCTACCAGTGCGGATCCTGGTGCTCGTCAGCTTCGGCCTCCAAGTCGTCCTCTTCGTCTGCGCTGGAGTCCGTCGACATGAAGCCACCGGCGTGTGGAGGCTGCGGAGGCTACTCCTCTGGCAAGCATACATTATGGCGGACTACATGGCCATATATGCCCTTGGCCACCTCTCCCTCAGGAGCAAGGCACACGATCACCAGCTCGACGCGTTTTGGGCGCCGTTTCTCCTGCTGCACCTCGGCGGCCCGGACAACATCACCGCCTACGCACTCCAGGACAACCAGCTCTGGCTTCGCCACCTCCAAACCCTTGTTCTGCAGGTCGGCGGAGCAGCCTATGTCATCTACAAGAACAGAGCCGGCAGTGTCGCCCCCAAACTGATCTTCGCGGTTGGCCTTGTCAAGTACGTGGAGAGGACATGGGCACTGAAGTGCGGCAACTTGGACAGCATCCGCATCTCCGTCAAGACGCAACCACCTGCCATGCATAAACATTCTCACCGCCAGGATGAAGTGCCTTCTTCGAAAAAGAATGAAGATCAGTTTGACGAGGAATCCCATTTGCGACGAGCTCACTCTCTGTTCCACATCTGCAAGCGTGCCATGGTTGATTGTTCGGTGTTCGTAAAGGATCCAGACGGCCGGCAGGACACCCGGAAAATGATGGCGGGCAAAGTGGAGCTATGGAGATTAATGGAGACCGAGCTCTCCCTCATGTATGACATCTTGTACACCAAGGCAGCTGTCATCCACACCTGGCACGGGTACTGCATCCGTCTCATCTCGCCAATAGCAACCTTTGTGTCTCTGGTGCTTTTCCGGCTAAGCGGCAACGACAAGGACGACGGCCGCCGAAGAGCTGATGTCATTATCACCTACGTCTTGTTTGTCGGTGCCTTGTTCATGGAGACCACATCCCTGCTGAACGCGCTGGTGTCCTCTTGGGCATTCGCGTTCCTGAGCACAACAAGATGGCGCCGGTTTCGCTACGAAGCCCTGTGCAGCGAAAGATGGGACCGTCTAAGGCGCAAGGTCGTATCTCTCCACCATTTTGTCATGGGAGAAGGCAGCAGGTATGAGTCGAGGAGGTGGTCGGGCAACATGGGGCAGTACAACATGATGCACTTCTGCACCCGCCCGGACACGCCGATGACCAGCCCTCTGCTCGGCAGGCTGGCCAAGGCGGTGCGTCTCATGGAGACGTGGAACAAGAAGCACTACTCAGGGACCGTCAACATTTCAGACTATCCTCTGATCAGGGAGCGTATCGCCGGACGTATGGGGCAACTGTACAAGGACGTGGGGCTGAATTCGCTGGGAATGCTGAGGAAGAAGTGGGGTGAGGAACCACTTGCTCGCAGGGGCTTGTACCGGGGATTTCTCCAGAAGTCCCTCGGTGTCGAGTTCCAGGAGGGCATCATCATCTGGCACATCGGCACCGACGTCTTCCTCTCCAAGAGCGAGAGAGCCAAGGCCGAGGCCGCATCGCCTCGTCCTCTTGGTCTCGTGAAGGCGATCAAGGTGCTGTCCAACTACATGATGTTTCTACTAGTGGAACGCCCTTACATGCTTCCGGGCAACGCCCAGAGCAGGCTGTACCAACGGACTAACGAAAACCTTGGCGACCTGCGGAAGCGGTCGACTCTTGGGCGACGTCGCAAAATGAGTATCTGTGCTATGGTGAAGAGTATGTTCCGCCTGCGCGATGGCCCGGGCTCAACTTCTTCCAGGCCCAGCGATGGCGAGGAGCTTGCAAAACACCTATATCGTGAGCATGTCAATGGCAGCACCAAGTTCACCCATGAGTGTCCTCGTCTCACCTATGCAGCCCGACTTGCCCAGGAACTGCTGGAAATGGAGAAACATAAGCTGGATGATTCGTTGCAGCTTGTCCTTGAGGTGTGGATGGATCTCCTGGTCTATGCGGGCAACAAATGCAGCAAAGAGTCCCACGCCAAGAAGCTCAACGATGGTGGTGAGTTGACGACCATCATCTGGCTCATGGCAGAACACCTCCATCAACTCTCTGTTGAGGAGGATAGCTACCAGGGTTTACTCAGGGAAGATGGTGTATAACATACATACAATGCCATTATTTTTGGAACTTTTTTTCGAAAAGGGGGGACTCCCCAGCCTCTGCATCTGAGTGATGCATACGGCCACATCTATAAATAAATAAAGTGGTTCAACAATGTCTTACAATGTGCTGCAACAAAGGAGGCTGGCTCATAAAGAGCTAGCGAAATAAAACAATGCCCAGAAGCCACAACCGGCTGGCATAATATAGAGAGATAGGTAAACTAATCGCCTATCCTATTACATGACCGTCATCCAAACCGGTTGAAAATATCCCGCGCTGCCATCTTTCACCGGACAGATCCAGTAATCAAACGCGCCCTGCCCTCCGTCGGAGTGAGTAATGACCACATACGGATTAGCGCAGTAGCCCGGAATACAACCTGCAAAAAATGAATAGTTGTTGTTCTGTTAAAAGTCAAATCATTTCTGCAGTTCTAAATTGCCCATAACAACGCACATGCTCCTACTCGAATTATTTTTGGAACTACTGTACTTTTTTTTTCTTCATCTCCGGCTCCATGGATGCCTCTACTTGTCCACCACCGTGCCCCCCGCCCCAGGAGGTTGATCCTGAGCACGACTCGAGCACAACACATAATTAAACGGATATGGATGAGCTCCAAGCATTATTTGTTTCAAAATGCAATCACTTATGAGTCAATCACCACAACTTACTTGGCAACTACGCGCATGCCTAGGCTGTATCGAGCTGCCTCCGTACTAATGCCCTGATGCAAATGAGCTGGTCCGCAAGATGCAGGCACGTACGGTAAATGCTCGTGCGCTATTTCCTCCCATCTTTGTACTTTAGTCCGCCTCTAGAAAAAAGGTAATTTACACATGCTTGATCCCACCGGGTTCATTTTTAAATTTGGATTTGGCCAGCACAACCTTTTGACTTTAGTAATAAGTTAAGCTAACCACTAATATATGACGAGCGCCAACCTCTTTCGGTTGCTGAGCTAGCTTCTGGTAGCAATATAAGGGCATGTACAACGGAGACATCAGTTTGGTGCTGCTCCAGCCTTTTCACATAGATAAATGTGTTAGAGCATCAGTGTATGGCCTTAACCACCCAACGCATGGCTGCGTCATTAGCCCGCACTTTAATCTCTCGTCATCCAGCTTTTACTCAGTTCCCAAACGATGGTTGAAGGTCACATGCCATACAGAGCTAGTGCATGTCTATACTTTTCCTCTTTTGTCAGGGAGGAGCCCGACTCCTCTGCAGGAAGCGGCTTTGCTCTGCAAGTAGCACCATACTTCATTTTGGACCACCCGAGCCGACGTGGCCGGCTGGAGCACCTGTCCACGGTGTAGCGTTGGCCATGCCCTAAGGGCATCTCTAGCCAAACCCTCAAAATTTAACCCTTTAAAAGCCTTCTCAAACCTAACTCCTTAATTTTGAGGAGCTAAAGTTGGTTCCTAGCCAAACTTCTAAACTTAACTCTTTAAAAAAAATTACACATAATTTCATGTCAGACACAAATTGAAACTACTCAATTATATAATTTAAACAAAAGTACTAGCACATCATATAGCATAATTAAATGGTCCAGACAACATAAAACTACTCAAAACTACATAACATACTTAAAACTACTTGGATTCCTCCCTGAGCTCGTCCCAGTGCACCATAGTCGCCGGAGTCGGTGGAGCCAGAGGAAATACCAGTCGGTGGCAGAGGGCTCGGCCTCATCGATGTTGCTGCTATACTTCTTGTAGGACTCCTAGAACACTTGTTCCTGGGTGACGAGCTCCAGATGCTCCGCTCTAAGCTCGGCCATATAGGCCTCGTCGATGTGCTCGGCCTCGATCTGCATGAAGGACTCACAATTCTCCTTCTCCTCCCGGCGGGAAACCACTTG